CTCTGTAAACCGCTTAGAGAGGGCTGAAAGCCCTATGAAGCGGTGTATAAGTCTAACTGCTATTGCTATTGCTATTTTTCAGGCCAAAAACAGCCTGAAAATAGCCTGAAAAACAGCCTGAAAACAGCCAGAAAAATGGCCTGAAAACAGCCCCAAAAGGGTCTGGTTTTTGGCTATTTTGGGGCTGCTTTCAGGCCATTTTCCAGCACTCCAGTGCCCATGAAGACCAGCTGGCCGGCGGGCATGTGCGGACCGGAAACCAGAAGAGCAGCTGGCGACGGTGCACGTGCCCACAGAGAAGGCTCTGCGTGCCATCATGGGAATAGAGTATCCTGGAATAGGGCATAATTAAGTGGAACAATAAACAGCAAGATTTGTCACAGCAAGATTCTACTGCAGTTTACTGGTTGGAAATAATTTTGCATGCTACTTTTTTTGTTCATGTGGAAAAACATGCTGAATGGACATATAGTTTTCTCTGGAGACATATAGCAGCTTCCAGAAAGAGGGGAGGGAAGAAGAAGACAAAGAAAGTTTGGAAGTAAAATGTGGCTCCTAACAGACCTTCCAATTTGATTTAGTCCCACACTAATATTGCTTTAAAAACAAATCCAGTGAAAGATTTCCAAATGCCTTGTGTTGTTTGGCTCTTAGCTAAGGTGACTAATTTGATACCATTTTTTTGTTCTTATAATCATGGCACATATCCTAACAGCAGAGCATGGCTTTGCTCTAAGTTATGTTATATACTACTAGAGGAATTCACTGACTTGTGAAATTCAAAACAAATATCTTTTTTATATGTATATCCTGGGGAAAACCTTTTTTCAAATCTATTGGAATTTATCAAGCAAATAGTTTGAAGGGCCCCGCTGACTAAATGGTCATGTTTATTTTATTACTAGAAAGGCTATGATCTATTAAACAGATATTCTTGGAATATTTATTTGTATTTCATATTTCTTAACCATTCATCTCCCTCTTTACATATTATTGGTTCACATATTATGTGAACAAATGAATCAACAAGAGTGCAAACCCGAACAAAGTTCAGGCAACAGCAACAAATTTCTCCAATTCAGTGGGGTTTACAGTTTACATAATTTGTGTGTGTGTGTGTACATGTATATATATGTATGTATGTAAGGGGGGGTCTGAGTAGGTAGAAAGATATGCATGTACAGGTAATCCTCAACTTAGTATCTGTTCAAAATTCTGGCCGCCAGCACTTCTTTCAGTTGTTACATAATTGTATTTGGGCGGTCATATTTACGACCTTTTGCAGAATCCCATAGTCATGTGGGCCGAGGTGGCGCAGTGGTTATGGTGCAGTAGTGAAGGCCACTACAGCTGACTGTTATCTGCAGTTCAGTGGTTCAAATCTCACCGGCTCAGGGTTGACTCAGCCTTCCATCCTTCCGAGGTGGGTAAAATGAGAATCCGGATTGTTGTTGGGGGCAATATGCTGAGGGACTAAATCAAATTGGAAGGTCTGTTAGGAGCCACATTTTACTTCCAAACTTTCTTTG